TTAACATGCTTAACACACTTTTGTGTGCCTTGCATGTGCTGTATCTCGTATGTTAGAGAACCAGCTCATCTGAGTACCAGGTACAGCCAGTCCAGCTTCTGCACAATGCATTGGAATGTCCATTCCTTCACCATCTGGCCAAAATACCTCTTCTGTCACTTGCTGCCTTCCTGTGTTGTTGTCAGGTAAACTCATGTGCATCATTGGTATCAGGCACTACATACTCGTGGTGGAAGACCATACATCACATTCATGGGGAGTTCTGTCTCTAAATTAACAGATTTGATAAACAATCCATTGATCCCTGTTCTATTGCTCTGTTTGCCATCATCTTTGGCAAGTGTTCATCCCTGTTGGTTCTGTCGAGCTCAACAAAAATCTACTTAGTAGTTTGCTTTGCCCATTTTGCCAAGCCATCAAAGTGAGGGTGACAAGATGAAGCATGAGGCTTTGCTACATCTAACACCTTGCACAATTTTGTGACAGTGACTAAGAGTGGGAAATTCTACCAATAGTCAAGATCTCACTGTGCATTAAGATAATACATTCACTTTCCATGTTGCATGGAACTACGATGAACTATCAGAAAGTCATATTTTTCATCATTTTATCCAACATTCTAAAATCCCATCCAGATTTTTAAATTTTGTTAACCACTTCAGTGAAGCATGATCCAACCATATTGTGTGCTTCCTACATACAAATAAAAGTGTAAGTGCTTTACTCCACGTCCTTCCACATGAGTGAACAGTTTCTGGGCTTCAGTTTCAGGTCTGCTTTTCTTAAGTGCCCACACATTGCAGTTCTTTGAGTGTGAACTCCATCAGCCTTTCAAAGGTGGCTGGGACATTATACAAACTGACAGCATGACATGGAATTCATATAGAGCATCTCTCATGCTAAAAGCAGTTTTGTTCTGATTCTGTTATTCAGCTCAAATTGCCAGTATCCAGACACCAGATCTAAGTCCTTCAATGTATCTAGACATTCATCTATCCAAGGAAGTTGGCACAGTGTATTGTTATCATATATGTATTGTCTGTATTTATACAGTGCTAAGTTACCATTGTTTAACCTAGTCAGCCACCTGGTCCCACAAGCATGTTGGTATATTCACCCATGTCACTGAGTTGTTCTCACTGTACTGAGTGTAAATTGTCACCAGCCATCAACAAATAAATCAGGTGTATTAATAGCCCTACATTAGCTTTCAGTCATAACACAACCGGTGTGACCTCACACTACTGCTAACATGGGTCACTTCCACAAGGCTCACTGTACCTATTACCTTTCATCATCCAGCTGGATAGCCAATCATAAATAATTGTAAAGTTTAAACAAAACCAGAACTTCATCTTTTGTCACATGGATCACTTACTGCTGAGCAAGCGCTGCTAGCTTTTTGAAAGGAAACAGTTTATTTCTTGTGTGGGCTCTAACATCACATTACATGTTACTGATGCATTGAAACAGTCTTTGTTTACCTGAAAGTACTACCATTCCCTTCACAACGTACATTCATGTGGTCCACTGTTTCTGGAATTAATCTCAGTAGCTTTGGATGGCTTTCACTGACTGACAAACTCCAAAGTACATCCATTTTGAAGATAACTATTCTAGACCTTAAACCAGAAATGAGCACTTTCATTCTGTTGGCAATACCTCCCAGACTGAGCTGGAGATTGACCTCTCCTCTGATATCTAGTCTATCACCATTGGCTAAAACAAAATCATTACTCATTGGCCATAAAAGTGGCTAACCACAAGGGCTTGAGAGATTGTGAGATCCACCAGAGTCCTTACTATCAGAAATTCACCTTTTCGCCCTTAAACCCTTATAGGCACTTACAAAGCTTCACCCAGCTCTGATCAAGCTGGGCTGACCACTAGACTCCTTGTAAGCCAAATTCTGTATTCCCACAAACTAGTGGCCAAGCTCGTCTTGGTTTCTATTAGTTTTCTGAAGCATTGGTCACAGTGTCCATCATTCATTGCTTGTTATCCTGGCCTTGCTGATCTGATTGGTATACAAATAGCCTTGTATATTTTGCAACCTGCTGAAAGCTGAGCAGTGACTGATCACTTTGTCATCCTTGTGGAAACACAAGGTATGGTACTTCATCTGCCCATAAGCCCACAAATAAAGTAGATGCTTTTCTCTTCTCACCTTGAATTATATGTAGGCAAAGGTGTCGACTGTGGAAGATATCCCTTTGATGGGCTTTATGGAACCATGCACCCAATGGGAGATCTATCATGATCCTACCCACTCACTGGCACCCAGTGTGGTTGCTTTACAATCCCTTTTTGTAAAGACAGCTGTTTGACACATTTCCTAGTGTGTTTGGGTCACTGGTGCAAAGAAATCTGCTTCATTTCTTTTGTCATCAGAGTTATTAAGGCTTTCACCTGTCTGATGGCATGCTTACCATCATAATTTTAAAGTGTGTCACGACAGACACAGTCTTAGTGAGAGTGAAAATATCCCCCATAATGTTACCTCATAAGTTCATTGGACAGCCCTTTGCTAGGCCTGTCTATAAGAATGTCCTGTCAATCTGTGGAGACCATTGCTTGGTAGGTTTTCCTGTGCAACTGTCACAGATCATCTAGATAGGCAGCCAGTACCTTTGTACCATCACTATTTCTGGCTTTAAACTAAGCTTGGTAGCTCATCTGATTCTTCTCAGGGCTGAATCAGTAGTGCAACTCATTCATGGCAGTTTTCCGGGTGTTGAAGAGTGTTAAGGGCCATACAGTCCAAGTTCAGAACCAGGCTTGGTACAGCTTGATCCAGAGTACATACATACATTACAGACTGTGACCTACCTGAAACATCTCAGGAATCAGTCCAGATCTTCCATTGCAGTTTCCTTGAATGTTGAGGGCATGACATATTTTGCCTCACTCACAGACCATGCATGTTAGGCAAAACCTTTCCCTCTTGCAATCCTGATAGATGGTATCACTGTTGCCTTTAGCACCTGAAGAAGACTATTCACGGGGACTACCTCACCCCAACAGGCAGTTAGTCTCTGGTTCAGAGTCACAGGGCAATCAGTTACTTTTGGTCACTCATCATACAACTATACATGACCTCGTGTATCATAAGCCACTCTCAACATGATAGAGAAACTCTCAATTCCCTTCAGCACCTTCACGCATGGGTCATGATTTTCACTCATATTTCCCTGTCCTCTCACTTCTTGGAGGTCAACTCTAATTGGTGAATATCGTCCACCAATGGCATGTCCAAGTTCTCTACACTATCTGGTGGTCTCGATCAGAGCCAAGGCTATGATGTTCTGGTTAATGTTGTACTGAAAGTCTGGTATAGACCTCCCCATGTGATCTCCAAGTCAAAAGTTGCCATACAATTTGGGCAGAGTTCAGCCATCTGTGGTACCCTGCCACCAAAGTCGATCCTCAAGGGCAATACCTGCTCCAATGGTCTGGGTGCACCAAATACGAATAGATTACTCTGAGTATCAGATAGATAGAACTGCAACAGCAGTAGATTCGCTCAGGACTATTGAGTGTTTTTATGAGAATGACTGACTGGGTGTTTCACTTTAATAGAATAATAAAGAGATTAGACAACTTTATTTATAAAACAGTCGAAATATTTATTGTAATAATAAATTAGAATAAATGAAACAGCTCATGTACTCTTGCAGATAATAAAATAGTTCTCTTCCACTGAGTGGTTGGTGTTTAATTTTTCAGTCCTCTTTCTCTCAAGATTGATTCTGCAAAGCTAAACACTCGGATTTTCAAAGTAGCATGTTTACTTCATCAATCGTCTAGTGAAATTCTGAACAAAGATAGTGCACTCAAAACTAGAATGTAAACTCACTTTCTCTGTGCAGTTGACAGCATCACTTTGTGACCTCTGTTCCTTGAAAGCATGGGTTGGCTGTTACTTTCAGTCAGTTTCATAATTGGCCAGTCCAGAATATTTCAGTTCTGGCCTGTTCAACCTGGATTCCATAGAAAATACTGAAACGCCCCTAAGGACAGATGAAATAGAGAACAAAGGGTTAATCAACTGTAATAAGGCAAGCTTAATAATTTTCTAGACCATGTGTTGCAAGCACAATAATGAGGAAATCAGATAATTAATAATTTTGAAAATTTCTACAGAAGGTAGAAGACCTATGATGTGCCTACATATCTCAATGGAAACAAAGGAAAACATTATAATGCATACATAGTTTTCTCTCACTCTTTTCAAGTGTATGTGCTATCCACGTGACTAGGAATCATTCTCATGTTCGTTAGGGGTGGGGCATACCTCTAGGAAATCATTTTGTTTGTGGCCAGAACAGACCATTGCCTCTGTCATTAATTTTTGCTCACGCTGCCGTGATCACATCGAAAGCAAAACACGTGCATGAACTTGGGATTCATGCAGAACGGTGATTAAGCAAGACAAGAGAAACTTAATAGTTTCCTTGACTGTTTTTCTATACCAAGAATGAACCCTTGAACAAACTTAAAATTACAAATTATTTAGCAGCTAAGGAAGTGAAAGACGGATGTATATATAGAGTACAATCATTACAGTGTGATCGGTGAAAAGAAATGTATCTATATGCTATCACAATGAGCGAAAGACGATTGTTAAAATTTGAAAAGTAAAAAGTACAATTCACATTGCTTTTGTGTTAATTATTTCTGTTTGTGCCATAGTATTTGCACGTGTACAGAGAAAGATTGTTCTTATATAACATCTATGCGTGTAATATATTCATGAGGTGGGGCGTTGGTGCTTTGGCAAGATTAGTGTATGCTATTTTATTTTGTGTAACTTTATTTGAAATTGAATTTTATATTGGATTATAAGTTTTAAATTCCAGTTTTCGTCCAATTTGACACACACACACAAAAGAGGTCAATGATACATGGACTCTTGTTTTATAGTAGTAAGCCTAATCCCTTGGAACCCAATCAATTTTATAAAGGGTCTATGTAAGTTGTAACGTTGTTTTACACTTACACTGTTACAGGTAAAACTAACATTCGTATCAAAATATAAGACCTATTATACAATAAATTCGTAAAACGAAATGCAGGTGCTGCTAGCAACGACTTCTTTTATGGACTGAAAGTAGGCTGTTTTAATAGTTATAGTGTATTTAGTTAATTATATTTAAATATATCATTATATGTATTGTATATTATCAGCCATAGTACTAGAGCTAGTAATAATATTAGTTTATATATATATATTTATGGGTGTGTGTTTGTAGCTTTATACGAGCAGCAGTCTTTCACTCACGGTTTTTACAAAGTGAATTATAAATAAAAATAATGTGGCATTTTAACATTTGAAAATTCATTTTCTTTCACAAAAACCATAACATAAACTGCAGTTATTTTAACTCTATTTAGGGTGTTCCATAACACTGTGAGTTAGTTTATTTTGAGTCAGGTGTAGAGTCAATAAGTATAATAACCTGATCAGGGATAATTATTCTTTTAATTAAGTGTCCAAAAGGTATGGGAATAATTTTGACATTTTAAAAAGTAGGGAAGAATGTCTGATCATGTAAAAGAAGAAAAAAAAAGGCAAAAATTGTGGAGGAAAAGAAGAAGAAAAAATGAAAACATTAACTGTATATATACTTTTTTTTTTTAGCTGAAGCTGCACTCTGTAACAACAGACATGGTGAAAAATTAGGGATGAATTTTAGGAATCTTGATTGAGGGTAGAGGAAAAATCTGTGTTTCTTTGACAAAATATGTACCTCTGTTTCTGATTTCAGAAAGTAAGTAATTGGATTAAATAATCCGGGAGAATGGTTTAAAAGGAAAAAGTATGAGAGTTGCTTGATATTTTCTAATTAGATATGTCAAATTTGCTGAGAAAAAAATGTTTTTTTTATACATGTTTACATTTAAACTGAATATCAAGTTCTATTTGATTGAACAGAAATTCAAAATTTTAAATAAATAATAAAAGTAGAAATTTCAAGAACATGAAAATCACCAGTAAAAATTAAATATTTGGTTAAACATCAAAAACAAAGTCATGAGGCCTTTTAGAGTGGTTTGAAAGATTCTTCACTTGTAACATAGTTTTAGATTTAAAAGGATTTTGTTTTTAAGCAGAAAGAGAGTTAAAAAATACTGGATCTTTAAGAGATTTCAATGGAAATCTTGTGGAAAAGGAACACATAACTCAAATATCAAACATTTTTAGTTTTTTTTTAAGATGATGATAATGAGATATTTAAGCTGTTAAGTATGTTGAAAGGAAGAGAATACTAACATAATATTATTATGAACAAAAATCATGCTTTGGAAAAGCTTTATAAATTTACTGATAGTTAAGTAATGCCCCAGTCTCTGATGGTCACCCTTTAATTAAGTAAGCTAAATATGGTAAGATGGTTTGAGTTTTAACTGGAGGTTTTCATACGTCTTTCACATAGGAGATATCTCAAACGTATTTAGTGTGATACCTATTACAATTTTATTTAGAATTCACCACATTAGTATTTTTTATAACTTGAAATTTAAAGACCACCCCAGTTACTAGATAATTTTTTCAGGTGTTGTACTTAATATAAATAAGATCACTTAGCCTTTCTCTCCTTAGTTATAAGCCAACCGTGGCAGAGCAGTGTGTTAAAAACATACGCCAGAAACTAGGTTTTGATACCCATGGTGGGCAAAGCACAGATAGCCCTTTGTGCAGTTTTGTACTTAACTAAACCAATCTCTTCTTAGTTATATATGCCATTGGTTGAGTCACTAAGAGCATCACATGCTCTTCATTAAAGCAGATAAAAGTAGCATCAAAGATGTTGTGATGGAAACAGTGAACTGCTCTACTGATGAGCCATGTGATAACTTAAGATTTTACAACTAGATTAAAGCATTTAGATATTTGATTCATTATAACTTGAAGTACAGATACAGTTGACCAGAGCTGGGCGATTAGTGGTATTTACTAATCTATTAGTATACCTCGCCCCTACAACTCATACAAGCAAAAAAAATAAGTCGGGTATGTTCTGCCGACCTCACTTTCGCCAACCACTGCACTTTTCTAAAAAAGGATATTCCCTTTTAAAAAAAAATTTCTATATTGATGGACGATGAATAGCAAATGTAGACTAAATACTGTTACACGATCGCTTTTCTTTGTTTTTAAAATTTCCAGTAAATATAGATTTAAAAAAAAGTTGAGTTAAAATTGCTTAGATACTTTGAACTAACACATAAATTTGCCTTAAAATTTTGAGGTGAAAAAAATAAAAAGTACATGCAAATGTACAGTCTTCATGTACAGTAATTGTACAGTAAGTTATTTTGTTCATCCCAAACTGTTGTACCTGGAAATATAAATGCAAAATAGTACAAACCTGTAACAAACTGAAAATAACATAATAGCATTCTGCTAGTTTCTCAAGACCACTGTTATAAAAATACTGAATTTTTGTTGATGAAAATAAACGTATTCGTAACATTTTCAAATAAGATTTTTATTTGAAGTTAATACACTTCACCCTAAAACAGCAACAATAATAGTAATACATTGAAAAAACAAAACACGTTTCGGCATCAACTTAAGCCTATATCATGTGTAAGCTAGTTGAAACTTGAATATATCTTTCAGTATTGGAAATAAAATTATTTTTTACAACACATGCAAATATCAATAAATGATGTTCATAAAAAATAAAATAGAGAAATGTCAAAGCTTCCTAGATGGAGTACTTATGTTAAATATTTTTCAAACAAATGATTCATGAATGTTTCAAATTTTGTTAATTGTTGTTAGACTTAGAGGTGTGTACTCAAAATAGGGACAATCCAGCATTTTGTTGAGGAGGGCTCCACTCCAATTAAGACTGTACTAGTGCTACTGATAAGTTTATATTACTTTGCTTTTTTTTCTTTTTAGTTACAACTACATACTATCAGTAATGTTAGTAACACAAACAGTCAAAAAATCTACAAAATCATTAAGAGTAGCCAAATTGGAATATTATCCAACTATTTCAAAGCTTATATCTTTTATTTTTGGAAATGTGATTGATATCAAAATAAAAATAATTAAAGATAAACATTTCAAATTTTCTAGTTAAAATTAAATATTTATAATTATCTGTAGAAAAAAATTATAAAATCTAAACCAAAATTTATATTTTAGCATTCGTAAGCAGGATGCCTGTTTTCCTTTTTTTAAGTCATTACTTGTGCCGTTATAGCACCTGCATTTTCTCTAACAAGAACAATTATTTTACTAATAACTCTGATGAACACATAGTGGCATAATTGGCTGAGATAAAGTTTCTTTATTATCTGGAGAGTAAAGGTCGTTTTTTTTTCAAACTTTATTGTCAAAATGTCCAAATTTTCCAGAATTCACCACAAATTCTGAAAAACAACAAAATACTAACTTTTATGAAAAAAACTATAAAGTCTAGAACACACACACTCATTGTTAGTGTCTGGCAGAAGCCAAAGCACAAAAAATTACCATGGCAACTTTAATTGACATACGTAATGTTGTATTCGCTTAGAAATAATCAGTTAATATTGGCTTACATGGTAACCAGATTACTGTAGACTTCTCAGCTGTGTTGACTTTAGAAAAGCTGAAAATAAAAGCTTTTACTGTAACTAATCGACCAATCAAATAAGACCACTGACATTTAATAGTTCTTTTTGATACTATTGGCTGCTTTTATTAATTTCTAAAAAAAAAAGTTCAATCCTCCAGCATGTGCCTGTTTATACACCATTAGGTAATACAGTTATTAATTTATGAACAAAAATTATATAGAAGGGCTAGGGGTTTTACCCCCTTTGGAGCCATCCCGCATATACATCATTAAATAAGTTATTCATTTCTGGAAAAACTGATGGAGTTTAGACCCCCCTCTGTCTCTCCCCCAGATGTGCGCCTGTTTATACAGCATGAAAGGATACAGTTATGCAATTATAAATTAGAAACATAACATAGTGCATAAAAAACAGTATATGCTTTATTTGATATATATATATATAACCAGAGAGTTGACGATGGGTGCTACCAGCCAGTTGTCTTCTTTCTATTCAGCAGTTTAAAATTAGTGACAGTGGCAGATAGCCTAAGTAGTTTTACAATAAAAAAGGCAAGAAAGAGTAAATTTAGTGGCAATGGGAATTAAACCCGAGAACCTCAAATCACGAAGTGTCTTCCCTATCCACCCAATATGTAGCTTTACGCTTAACAACAAACAAACATAGTGGCAATATTTCAATTACTTGGATGTTGGGAATAATTGAAAACAATAAATTATAGAAAATCCTAATTTCGGTTAGTTGATTATTTTCATGAAAGTCAATGTAATTGTAATTTCGATTAGCCGGTTGTTGGAATAATCGGAAACATCTTTTTTGATAAGTTGATTATTTTCATAACATTAATCGATTAATTTACAATTTTTATTAATCGATTGGATTACGAGACACTAAGGGATGTAATCGGTACTATAGGTAATCCATTATATTGATTAATCAATTGAATCGCCCAACCTCTAGTGTTAATGGCTACTATAGGTAATCCATTATATCGATTAATCAATTGAATCGCCCAACCTCTAGTGTTAATCGCTTTTCTTATTGCACCAACTTTAACCCCCTTTAAGTCCTGCATTAGTAGGCTGTTGAATGGATACAAATAAAGCTCTCTTTCTCTCCAGTCGAAGACACTAAGGGATGTAATCGCTACTATAGGTAATACATTATCTTGATTAATCAATTGAATCGCCCAACCTTTAGTGTTAATCCCTTTTTTTATTGCACCAACTTTAACCCCATTTAAGTCCTGCATTAGTAGGCTGTTGAATGGATACAAATAAAGCTCTCTTTCTTTCCAGTCGAAGATACAAGGATTTGTTTAAGTGTTAAACTTGACTTTGACTGTTCATAATAAAGATTGTGAGTGTCTACAAACGTGTGTCCTATTTCTTTCTTGTATAGACTAAATCAAAAGTAGAGCAAACACAAGAATTGCTCCATGAAATGTATGCAGCGAATCCTCTTGTTATTTTGTAGATTCTGCAGACTACTCTTAGAGAAAATCAGGTATATCGGAGAAATAACATATGGAAATGGCTTCTTTTTGCAGAGTGAAGTACTTATGGTTAGGAGGAAGAGTCAGCTGGAAGTAATTTGTTATCAGGAATATCATTGGGTCCAGGAGAAACCCTCTTCTGGGTATCAGACTTTTGTTGATGCTGTTAAGGTCGATGACAAACACCTCATTGCAGCTGCAGCCCATAGAATGAGGACTGCTTCTATCTGGTGGACTGTGAGTTGTATAAGAACTTCACCTCCTGAACTTTGACCTCAGTGCATTGTGTGGTGTGCAGCATGGTGGGTCTGACACTGTACTGGGTGGTTTCTACAGACCCCGTGGATAATCACTGGCCAAAGTAGAACCACCACAGCTCTGTTCATTACTACCTTTGCTCTATAAGGAAAGACCAGAGATGCTGTTGGTGGGTGATGCTCATCAACAGGATCTGTTTTGCCAGTAGGTGAAATGCCAGGTGAACACGAGTGAAGGTGATAAACTATGAGGTAATTTTGAGCTTTTATAAGTAAGGAGGCCCTACTACCAGAGCAAACATGGGACATGAAGGAGCCTAGAATCACGCATACCAATATGTGAAATACCACAAGTGCCTTGCCATTCCACAACCCGGGACCAGGAATCTAACTCTCGTCAAAGTGCACAGGTTTCCTCGTCAGCCTACCTCATCATATC